ATTTTTGGGCTTTCCATAAAAATTTAGCAAGTGAATCGGTATCCAGACGAGATAACCGAGATGACGAAACATCTGACAAATTGAAATGCTATTTAAATCGGTCAGTTATCAACATGTCATCTTGTCCAATAAAATTCTGGAATAATCATCCTAACACGCGAATTTCGGCAATAGCCAATCGTCATTTCACATTAGTTGGAACGTCTGTTCCTTCAGAATGTTTATTTTCCAAAGCTGGCATAATTTTAAATGAAGCACGAAATCGTTTAAGTGGCAAACATCTCAACCAACTGCTATTTTTAAATTCTTTGTCAATTGAAGATTGGTATGCATTATGAAGCAAAATATTTGAATGTACAGTTTATCAAATAAAACCTTTGTGATACTACCTGCCGTATTTTTTTGCATTAAATTAAAGACTTGTTAAGGAAGATCGATACACTAAAATCAGTTTTTCAAAAAACGATGTTACCGAAGGGAGAAAGAATTCTTTTTCTCGAAAAGAAAAATCGAAATCAGCAAAATTCATTAAATTAATAACTATTATTAATTACTGAAATTTTCTTCATAAAAAATAGTTTAAAACCTTTAACAATTAACGGATTGCAAACAATGGCAGCGTAATTTCTCAAGAAAATGATTCTCAACCCAACAACTTCTCTGAAAGAAATTCTATGAATTCAGTTTGTAACATTTAATTATTAAACAAATCATCAAATAAAAACTAATTTTTGTAAACAAATCGCTATATTTATCGTTAGACATTAAAACAAAAATAATGTTCAGATACGCTGTAAATAATCATTTTTTGAGAAAGTTAACCCTCATTGATTAAAATCCGTTAATTGTTCTTTAAGAAGAAAATTTCAGTAGTAAATAATGTTGTTAAATAAATGAATTTTTGAAGTTTGATATGAATTTTTACTTACAGTTCTTCAAAATTTAGACATTGCCAGCTGGGTCATTAATTAAGAACGGGGAACTCCCTCTGTTGATCCCCGTGCTTTCCCCTATTCATCTTAATGTGAAAGACAAAGACACCATAACGGGCTCTCCGCGCGAATTAATGACCCTAGGTGTACCGATATTGACTGATATTTCCAATATCGATATTCCACTTACCGATATTTAAACTGACGATACGTATCGATACTAAATATCGATATTTTCCGATCGATACACCATCCCTAATAACAGGTTATGAAAACTCGCAGCATTTCTTATAAAATTAAAAAATGTAAAGGTGCCTTTTCATGCTAACGCTCAACACTCATTTTCGGCGTCAAAATAAGTTATGTGATAGAAATTGACGAATATCAATTTTGATTATGTGATTTATTTTAAGGCTGAAAATGAACGTTGAACGTCAGTATGAAAAGGCACCTTAATGATCTAGTAGCCCTTAATGCTATCTAGTGTTCTTAGATCCGGTTCCACAACTCACGGTTAGCTCAAGTTAATCAAAGTTTAAGGCCCTGCACACAATGGAGGAAATATTAGGAATAGGAATAAATATTAAGATTTTAACCTATCAAAAACCGAGTATTCCGGTGTAACTGATATCTGATAGGTTGAAATTTTAATATTTATTCCTGTTCCCCTAATATTTGATATATTATGCGCAGGTCCTAATTTGCTGAAGTTGGTTTAGCGCATTTGTGATGTTCCACTGTCTTAACCTTTATTACGTGTATTTGCCTCGGTTAAAAATGAATCTCCGATTTTGGGCGTTCAATCAATTTAATTGAAGTTTACGATCGTGAGAAATTGTTTGAAAAATTTCGCACGTTCCGCAATAATGTACTCTCTTCTAAGGTTATTATATTATTGTGTGCTTCGTGCATTGAATTGAGGAAAGAAATATTGCATTTTATGTAATAAATCGGAAAGGAATTTCAAAGTTTGTATATAATATGACCTTTGCACATATATTATCGTCATCAAATGATGAAGATTTTGCTAATATTATAAATCAAAGACCAAATAATTTTAGAAGATGACATTTTCATTTTTATGAGTTAGATGATGTAGATTTTCATGTAGATTTTCACGCTGGGTTCCGATTATTAAAAGAATACGTTATAGAAATCTTGGAAATTATCGAACTCGAAATTTTACATCCAACAGAATGGTAAGTATTCGTAGCATTATAAAACAGCATTGTAACTGAGAGTATTTGTTATTAATGAAGCTGTTATTCACAAATAATAATTATTGATTATTATTGATAAAGATATTGACAGTAATAAGTACAATTATAGTAATGCAAAGAAATTAGTTTTTATTATTGAGAGAAATTCATGTTGGTAATACACATATCAAAGAATATGTCACTAATTTATGACTGTTATTCCTTTATCAAAAATAATGCTATTTCTTCCATAAGTTAGCTTCTCTTGACGTTCTAGCTATTTAATATCGGCAGGTAATTTTTCTGAAGTGAACAAAACGAGCTCATAGAATTGTTCACTCCGTAACACAAATACTATTGTTCATCTTCGGCCAAGATATATTAAATTTCCTACTCTTGCGGATGAAATAAAAGCCAAGCAAATACAGTTTTTTGATATTGCACGATTTCTGAGAATTGTGGGCTGCATAGATTGCATTCATGTAAAAATCCAGTCATTTGGTAATTAAACTGTATATCAATATTTGGAAGTAAAGTTTATACAAACTTTCTTGCTGTTATATAAGTATCAATAATTATTGTAAATATCAGGTGGAGATAATACAGAATACTTCAGAAATCGAAAAGATTATTTTTCGATTAATGTCCAAGCGATTTGTAACACTAATTTGAAAATAATGAACCTTGCAGCTCGTTGGCCAGGTTCGGTGCATGACACCATGATTTTCAACAATTCCAGGATACATGCTCTATTTGAGACTGGAACATTTGGAGATGCTTTGATCTTAAGTGATGGTGGTTATTCTGTTTGATCTTATTTAATGACCTCTATGCAACACAAAAAATCATGCTCAGGAACTCTATAACGAATCGTTTATTAAAACACGCAATACTATATGAGCACGTGTTTGGAAAAGAAGATTTCCAATTTTAGCACTGGGTTCTCGATTTGCTAAAGTCGAGAGAGTACTACCAATCATTGTAGCAACTGCCATATTACAATACATAACATTATTCGGCGTGCTGGAGATCTATTACCTGATGATCCTGTGTTACAGTTACCTTGGAAAGAAATTTTGGATCAGGGAAATACCACTAATGAATAATGCATCCGATAATCATATGTAGAACATATTAACAACAATTATTTCCGTAGATAAGAATAGAAATCTCAGACAAATTTATGAACATACATATTATTTATGAACATACTATTCCTACATGTAGTAATATTTAAATATGGTATTATTTTTCAACTTGTTATAGACTAAACCATTATTATGGAAAAAGTTGAATAATATGCTGGAAGATTATGTTAGCAGTGCATTTTAAAATATATGTATATACAATTTATAAAAAAAGAGAGGATATTTCTTTTTATAATGTGAAATATGAAAATATTTGTTTTTTAATATGTGAGTTCATGCATGAACTCATGTACATTATATTATTTATATAATACTTATATTTTTATTATATTTTAATAAACCTTGAATTATCTTCTGATATTTTCTGTAGAAATTGTAACCTAGAAGTGAATTGTCAAAGTCGCTTTAAGTTGACTTTGAAGTATTGAATAAGACATAACTATCATTCGCTATAATACAAATCTTTCAGTTCACATCCAGATAATATCTCAGGTGTATTTATGTAGATACAGGATGCGTTCCGACTGCAGTGCTGAAACTATACAGTTGTATGTTACGTGCGTTATAAATTTTCAGCACTGGTAGTGAATATAGGAATGCACCCATAATAAGAATCTATAAGGTTATCAAAAGGCAATTAAAAAACATTCAAGACAGAAATAATAATAAAGTTTTACTTATTATTTTTATAATTATATTATAATAAATTTTCAACATATTATTTATTATTTTTTATTGTATTAAAATTTTACTTATCAAATAATTGTATTTGTTTTCTTAGAAGTTTAATTTCAAGTTGTTTTTTTCCTAGTTGTGTATTTAAAATTTGTATTCCTATTTCAAATTTTGCCCGTAAATCCTCCTTTATTAGCACTAATTCAGCTTTAGATTGAGCTAAATCATAGAAGCATTGATTGCGTCTTACAACGCCTATTATAGACATTATTGTCTGTCTTGTCCGCTTTACAGTTTTCTTTTTTATGGTCAAATTTACAGAGTTTGCTGCAAGGTTTTCATTTTCCTTCGAATATGTTTTAAAAGAAATTTGAAACCAAAAATTTGAAACAACCATGGATTCTCCGTTATCTCATCATCATTACAGATTTTATAGAAGATTTAAAGAGCGAAGCTTTGAAGATTTGAAACTGAACTACCTTTTTATTTTAGATATGTAGACGACATCACGACTGCTATTCCTAATCACTTAATTAAAGAATTTTTAGAGGTATTTAATTCTTTTCAATCAAGGTTGCAGTTTACTTTGGAGGTTGGTGGTAACCAGTTGAATTTTTTGGATGTGATGATGATTAATGCAAACGAAAAATTAGAATTTAATCTTTATCATAAATTAACTTTTTTGAGGACAAAAAGATTGTCATTCACAAATTGCCACAGATAAAGTGATGTAAAATTTTAGTAGAGAGCGTGCCAAGAAGCTTTGATACATAATTTATCACAAAATTACATTTATACAAATCTATTTACTAAAATTTTACATCACTTCATCTTTGGCAATTTGTGAGTAACACAATCTTTTTGGATATATGAGTTTTTTGTTATATATCTATTTGCCTCATTTATAGCTTTGATTTATATTAGTTATACATATATTTTATAGATTTAAAATCCCCTATATAATAATTGTTTTTCTCAATATTAGAATATTACACGTGTGTGTATCATGATATAAATATCTACACAAATTAGAGCTAGAAATAATTTATACTGAGATATTCATGCAGATATTTCCTATATTTATTTACACAAAACATTGCAATTAAATTTTATGTGTACATATATACACGTTATATTTTATATGTATACATACAATTTTAATATTGCGTATTTAAACATAGGGAATGCATAAATAGCTTAGCATTAATAACTTCTATCTGTAACGTGTGTATATTCATACATTATAGTTTTTTCTCAATTCTAAAATTGGAAAATTTTCTAAGATAAAATAAATCTTACATTTATGAGACTGAGCCTAATACATGTTTTCGTCTCTACTAAGATAGTAATGTAGGAAACAGAATAAAAATATCGATAATTAATCGACTGAATTTCTGCATGATCATATTAACTCAGAGGGCGTAAGCATCTTATACATTGGAAATGAAAAAAACCTGTAATATCGACTTTGATTAAGTTCAATCGTCGCTCCAGCATCTTCTTAACCTACAATCGAGTAAAGATATATCACAAATAGATTACGAGACCAGAATCAGAATGCAGTTTCGACAATAGCGATGTCGATTATTTATCGTGATGGATAGGCTCAAAGTGCATTTACTATTGTTATTGATATCACATTATAAAATTATTATATATTTATTTAAATTTAACAACACAAATACAACACAGATGATGCGTGCATCCACTCAATTAGCTACGAGACTAATTAGTTCAATTCGAAGCTTATCAAAGAATAAACATTGATAGATTATGAGGAATTTTTCTCATTTTTCTCACAATTTGACACTTTGCTATCTATGGTGCGCCCATTCCTTAAGAAGAAGCTGCAGACGACTATTTTGTATGAAAAGTTAAAACATATATTTTATTTGTTTTGTTATATTCACACAAATAATTAAGAATTTTTGTGCATCCGAATAGTTAATGTAGGCTCTGATGAGTTTTTTTACATTTTTCACTGATATACTCATATAAGCCTAATAACATCGCATTTGCCAATGATCCATTATTTTTCGTAGTATATTATTGAATTAATTTTTATTACAGATGCATTCTTTTATCGATTGTAAGGAAGTTATTCCTACTGTGGATGATGTGAAACATCATGCCTATTTCGAAGAAAGAAAAGTCTTTCTCGAAAGGGAAAAACAACTATATAATCACCTGCAATGAATGAAAATCCATGTAAATAATTTTAATTCGAAAAAATTTATTCCAAAAATATTCATTGTATAAATACAATACAATGAAAAAACAAAATAAAAACATTAAAATAATTAGTCTTATAATTTTCTTTATTTCAGTATGTAGCAATAACTCTTCAAAAAATATGTTAGCAACGATGATATCCAAGATAACAACATAGAGAATGAGGTACAGAATTCAAACTATAGTAATAAACAACCTTTTACATTGAAGAATAAGGAAGTAAAGCGTCGTTTTGACAGCTTTTGATAGAAAATATGTCGTTAGACGATGCAAATTTTATCGATGTAAAATATCTACAATATTCCTGCAACATGCGTTGTTGCTGCAAATTTTGTGCATCTTTGCTGTTGGGGAAGAAATCCAAAAGACACGAGTACGTAATGTGTCTCCAAGATACTTCCGAGACTACAAATATTCCGATTAATCTTGTTGATTGTTGGTGAAACAGCATAGTAAATGGCTCAATTTCTGACAGAGACTTTTAACTTCGGTTGAGTTATATATTCAGCTGATGACACTTTAGTTTATTACAGATATGGTAATTTATTCAACATTTATTTTTACTTTTTTGTAGCCCTAATTTAACAAATAAAAAATAATTTATCCGAATAAATGGAGTAATTAATTTTTTTATTAATTAAAATAGTCAGAAAATCGGTTTGGAAAATATATTATATAAATTTTAATGATAAATGCATTTAGTTATAAGCCGCTAGTTTAGTTGTACAATTGTATCAATGTATAAGTACAAAATACAGTAGTATAATAATTAAAAATATTTCTCATTTATTTACTATTTCCATTTATTCAATAATATATAATTTGTACTACTATTATTTTTTTATTCATTCAGACATATGAAAAGTACAATAAAGCTGCATTGCAAATCGCTTTTTATGTGCAGCATGCTACAGTAGCAAGTTAATCTCGCTTTAATTAAATCAAGATAATTGCAATAATTTTGCAAATTATTGTAATCTTAATTTAATTAACATTTTTATTTAGAAAAAAATTTGAAAATAAATATGATAATTTGAAATAAATAGTAAATTATACAACAAATATCATACAGACAATGTCTTTTAAACATTTATTTCTCATTAATTTTACATTTTTCACGATTCGTTTTCAAAATTCATTAATTTAACGTTTATTTAATTTTATTTAATTTATTTAATGTTTATTTTGAATTTATTTTTTATTTGAAATAATGGTTTAAAAAACATTTTTTAAACGTTTATTTAATGTTAATTAAATGTTTATTTTACATTAATTATTCATTTGAAATAAAAGTTTAAAGAAATATTTTTTAAATGTTTGTTTAACGTTTATAAAATGTTTATTTTACATTATTTATTCATTAAAAATATGGTAATAAGAAATATTTATTTCACGTTTATTTAATGTTTAGTAAATGTTTTATTTCACATTAATTATTTGTTTGAAATAATAGTTTAAGAAAATATTTATTTAATGTCTATTAAATCTTTTTAAAAAATTTATATGACATTTAATAAATGTTAATTAATAAATGTTTGTTTTTTTGTTATTTATTTATCTAAAATATGATTAAAAAAACATTTATTTAATATTTATCTGACGTTTATTATAAATATGGAAAAAAGTTTATAAAGCTCAAATTAATAAAAAACGGAATAATACAATAAAATAATCACGAAAGAGAAGTTAACACAACATAATTACGTTGTACATACCATATATAGACAATAAGAACTGTGTGCATCAGTTTTTCACGGCAGACATTTCTCGTGCGTGACGCTTGTATCGTCGA